ACCTCAGATGCAGACCATGGCTTTCTTACACGTTCTAGGGAGAGAAATAAAAATATATTAGCAATATACACTCCCAGGGTTAGGACCAAGCAGCCTGGCTGTAATCCCCCACCTGGTACACTTACCAGAAGGGGCACTGCCACTACCATGGGGTGCATCTGGATGAATGGTTGAAGGTTCTCCGCTTGAAGTTTCTTTTAGCCCGTCCGTTTGTGAGAGGATCTCTACTGCTCTCCCTGTCGCACAGAAAATAAAAATACAAGTGGCCTTTAGGGGAAAAAAATCATACATATTTTAATAATATCAAGAATTACCTTCAGGCTCAATTTGTATCTGGTCGAGGCTCTTTCCTTCGAATTCCGTCACTCTTCCCTGCTCCATGGCCATCAACACTTTGCTGATTTTGGCCAGCTCCAGTGTCCCCTCTGGTAGTCTGTAATATTGTCTGTGGATGCGAATGTCATGGCCGAGGAAGTTGGCAAGTATGTCCATCTCATTCTCTTTCATATTGAGAACTGTAGACATAGTAGCTATGTGCTTTCTAAGTTTGGTTGAGGATAGCATCTCTGGATGCACCGCACCACATTCTTTGGCTACCTGGCGTAGGGAGTCTGATCCCCTGATGTGGGTGTCTGCGCCCGGGCGGGAAAAGAAGTATGGGTTATGGTCAGAGATGGAACAGGCCCTTCTGTTCTCCACCAGCACCTCCATCGAAGCAATCATTTCAGGAGTCAAAAGAACCGGCACTTTCCGACTTCTTTTCCCTTTAATTTCAATGCGTTGAAAATGCTGACACAGCTTTTTCTCAAGTTGGGACAGTCCCAGAGCAATGTCAGAATGGATCCCAGTCTTACTTCTTAAGGTAAAGGCTGTCAGTGGCATCTTTGAAACCTCACCTTCCCTTCTTCGATTGAAAATAATGACCTCACAAAGAGTCAAAACTGCCAGTTTAGACGTTGGCTCACTTATTAGGGTTTGCACATATTCAGGTCGACATACCTCAATATGTGCATGCATGGCTCTAACGTCCTCAGTCAGAGGGAGCAGGTCCGGAGTGTTCCACTTGGCTTGCCGGAGGGTCTGTAGGGCAGCAGAAGAAACACAGACGTCCCACCTCTTCTCAAAAAGCAGCCGGCTTCGTTGGAGGTTTTTAATAAATAGTTCATCAACACAATGCTCCATTTTTGAGTCACATTCAAGAATATCTGCTAGCTTTCTGAGGCTATGGCCGAGTTTGAGGGCCAAGGATGGAGTCTTGTATTGATTTGTTTCCTCATCATATCCAGCCACAGACCTGACTGCATCAATCACATGGTTAAAGTTGGAAGGAATAAAGAAATCCTTAATTGTTTTCAGTTTCCCTGCGGTTTTTGCTTCGTTAATTAACCTACCGACTTCTCTCATTTTCTGCCTAATGTAATCATGCTTTGTCTTATCATGCCCGTGTTTTAAGTACAGGTGCTCTCCGAGTCTCAGAATCCCCTTTTCTGCTTTGACAACACCCGTGACCTCATCCTGATGCATTGCCGAAATTAAAGACCACAGCTTTTTGCTGATGCCCTCCGGTACAGGCTGGGCTAGGGAGCAGAGGGACTGGACCCTACTTCTACCTGGTTTAGCCTGGTTTAGCCTGGGCATCTTTCTGTGAAAGCCGGCACCTGGCCACATGCCTCCACAGCGACTTTCGCTTAAGCAATGCCCCACAGTCTATACAGTGCAAAAACTCACTGGATTTAACTGGGGAATTTGGCTGTTTAGCTGGGACTAAAGTTCCAATGCCGGCCTTTAAAACCTCAAAATTGTGCTCACGGTTTCCACTATTCCTGATCAAATCAAACTGAAGTTTACGTGCTTTAGATTTCACAGGTAGAGCCAATGCTCTGGCTACGTCACTTTCATTTCCATGTTTTCTAGTCAAATGACGGGACATTTTGTGGCAGGACATTGAACAGTAGAGGCAGAAGTGTCTCTTGCTATAAACTCGCCCCCCATTTTTCTTCTTTTGCAGCTGCATGATAACAATCTTATTTGCCTTTGGTTCGTCACTTTCCGAGTCTTGAAGAAAAGTGTTTTTGATTTTTCTTTTTCCATACTTTTTTACAGGTTTCTTCTTGACAGTTAAATCGTCAGAATCTGAGTCGACTTCATCAATTAGGGACTCTTGACTAAGCTGCACAAACAACAAATAATTTGTAATAATTCTATATAACAATTTGAAGTCATGACTTGTAGTCAGCACTTACCAGTGGTTTGTAAGCGTGCGCTTCAGTGTGCTGCTCTGTGATTGGCTGCAGCCTAATGAACCACACACTTGGACCTTTTTCTAGCCTGACACCTGACTTCCTCTGTTGTGCTGCTCCATGATTGGCTCCAGCCTGCTGGACTGAAATTGCCCCAGTGTGCCCCTCCTTGATATCCCGCAACCCACCACCAGGGTTCCGACACAGAACACACTTTTTTCAGGAAAGTAAACCTCCAGGGGTCCTTTCCATATTTTTACAGAGACTGCATAAGGACCGTTAGAAAAGCATTACCCATTGATTATTAAGCTTGGACCAGTGGGGTCCGGTGTTCGGGCCCCACCACGTAAAACCAGTCCCCATGACGTGAGTGGAATCTCAGGTTATGGAACCCACCAGGAGTTGAAAACAAGTGCATAGGCACACACACACACACACACACACAGATACACAAATACACACACATATACACACATATACACATATACCAACACATACACACACATTTATACACATACACACATATATACACACATATACACATATACACACATATACACACATATACACATACACACATATATACTAACATACACACACATATACATATACACACACATATACACACATATACTAACATACACACACATATACACATATACCAACATATATACACACATATACACATACATATACACACACATATACACACATATACTAACACATATACTAACATACACACACATAACACATACACACATATACACACATACACACACATATACACACACATATACACACACATATACACACATACACACACATATACACACATATACTAACATACACACACATATACACACATATACCAACACATATACTAACATACACACATATATACATATACACACACATATACACACATATACACACATACACACACATATACACACATATATACATATACACACATACACACACATATACATATACAGACACATATACACACATATACACATATACCAACACATACACACACATATACACACATACACACACATACACACATACACACACACACACACACATATACACATATACCAACACATACACACATTTACACACATACACACATACACACACATATACACACATACACACACATACACACATACACACACATATACACACATATACACATATACCAACACATACACACACATTTACACACATACACACATACACACACATATACACACATATACTAACACATACACACACATATACACATAGACCAACTCGTACACACACATATACTAACATACACACACATATACTAACACATTTACACACACACCAACTTATGTACACACATATACACACATACCTGTATACACGCACATACCAACACGTATACACACACATACCAACACACACCATCACACACATACCATCACACACATACCATCACACATATACCATCACACATATACCATCACACATACCATCACACACATATACCATCACACATATACCATCACACATATACCATCACACACATACCATCACACACATATACCATCACACACATACCATCACACACATATACCATCACACACATACCATCACACATACCATCACACACACCATCACACACACCATCACACACATACCATCACACACACCATCACACACATACCATCACACATATACCATCACACATATACCATCACACATACCATCACACATATACCATAACACACACACCATCACACATACCATCACACACATATACCATCACACACACACCATCACACACACACCATCACACACACACCATCACACACACACCATCACACACATATACCATCACACATATACCATATACCTCCGTCGAGCAAAGACGTGTTCCGTCGAGCATAGACGTGTCTCAGACGCTCCTGCTTCTGACTGCTTGCTATCTCCTGTTTTTGTCTTTTTTTCTGGAGTTTTGCCACAGACAACTTTAACAGAATGGAAATGATTAACTGGTCCCTCAACGCAATTGATTCTATCTTTTCAACACGTAAGCGTGGGTCTGGAGAGCCCGTGTGCCCGGACGGGACCTCACCAGCGGGGTATACTCTTGACAGCTGGAACAAGTTTCAGCCCCTCTGTCTGTCGACCCTGTCCATTGAAGATTCGGAAAACGTATATATCTTTGGCTTTTTGGTGGTGGGGATCCTCCTGTTTGGGTTTGGAGCGGTTCTATTCTACCATAAATTCGGAGGCATGGCAGTTCGCAAGATTCACGACCTGCTGGCCGACAAAATTGATGGGATGTACAAGGAGCTTAACCGAGTCGTGGTTGAGAGCGCTGTGGCTGGACAACGAAGAGTGGTGTTAGTGGAACAGTTGATCAAAGATCCTGTGTGTGACCCTGTGTGTGACCAGTGAGTATGATCTGTGTTGAGGGTGTGTTAAGTAAGTAAGTAATCTTTATTTAGTATATACCGCCTTTCACAGACCAGAGTCACAAAGCGGTTTTGAGGGTGTGTTGAGGGTGTGTTGGGGGTGTGTTGAGGATGTGTTGAGGGTGTGTTGGGGGTGTGTTGAGGGTGTGTTGAGGGTGTGTTGGGGGTGTGTTGGGGGTGTGTTGGGGGTGTGTTGAGGATGTGTTGAGGGTGTGTTGAGGGTGTGTTGGGGTGTGTTGGGGGTGTGTTGAGGGTGTGTTGGGGGTGTGTTGAGGGTGTGTTGGGGGTGTGTTGAGGATGTGTTGAGGGTGTGTTGGGGGTGTGGGGGGGTGTGTTGAGGGTGTGTTGGGGTGTGTTGGGGGTGTGTTGAGGGTGTGTTGGGGGTGTGTTGAGGGTGTGTTGGGGGTGTGTTGAGGGTGTGTTGGGGGTGTGTTGAGGATGTGTTGAGGGTGTGTTGAGGATGTGTTGAGGGTGTGTTGGGGGTGTGTTGAGGGTGTGTTGGGGGTGTGTTGAGGGTGTGTTGAGGGTGTGTTGAGGGTGTGTTGGGGATGTGTTGAGGGTGTGTTGGGGATGTGTTGGGGATGTGTTGAGGGTGTGTTGGGGGTGTGTTGAGGGTGTGTTGGGGATGTGTTGAGGGTGTGTTGGGGATGTGTTGAGGGTGTGTTGGGGATGTGTTGGGGATATGTTGAGGGTGTGTTGGGGATGTGTTGGGGGTGTGTTGGGGGTGTGTTGAGGGTGTGTTGAGGGTGTGTTGGGGATGTGTTGAGGGTGTGTTGGGGGTGTTGAGGGTGTGTTGGGGGTGTGTTGGGGGTGTGTTGAGGGTGTGTTGGGGTTGTGTTGGGGGTGTGTTGAGGGTGTGTTGGGGGTGTGTTGTGGGTGTGTTGGGGGTGTGTTGGGGATCTGTTGAGGGTGTGTTGAGGATCTGTTGAGGGTGTGTTGAGGGTGTGTTGGGGGTGTGTTGAGGATCTGTTGAGGGTGTGTTGGGGATCTGTTGAGGGTGTGTTGAGGGTGTGTTGGGGATCTGTTGAGGGTGTGTTGGGGGTGTGTTGGGGATCTGTTGAGGATGTGTTGGGGATCTGTTGAGGGTGTGTTGAGGGTGTGTTGGGGGTGTGTTGGGGGTGTGTTGGGGATGTGTTGAGGGTGTGTTGGGGGTGTGTTGGGGATGTGTTGAGGGTGTGTTGGGGGTGTGTTGGGGATGTGTTGAGGGTGTGTTGGGGGTGTGTTGGGGATCTGTTGAGGGTGTGTTGGGGGTGTGTTGGGGATCTGTTGAGGGTGTGTTGGGGATCTGTTGAGGGTGTGTTGAGGGTGTGTTGAGGGTGTGTTGGGGATCTGTTGAGGGTGTGTTGGGGGTGTGTTGGGGGTGTGTTGGGGATCTGTTGAGGGTGTGTTGGGGATCTGTTGAGGGTGTGTTGGGGGTGTGTTGGGGATCTGTTGAGGGTGTGTTGGGGATCTGTTGAGGGTGTGTTGAGGGTGTGTTGGGGGTGTGTTGGGGGTGTGTTGAGGGTGTGTTGGGGGTGTGTGTGGCTGTTCTCTCTCTCTTCATGTCTGAGTCGCCCGCACTGACTTTGAGCTACAGTTCCAGGCTGTGCTTATGTAAGAATAAAATGTACAGACTTGGGGCTGACTGATGTCCCAGCTGGGTCCCAGCCCCAAGTCCCCCCCCCCCAAGATGGACCCCCCCAGTCTCTCTCCTCTCTGTGTAAACATAAAGTCTTGTGTTAGACCATGTGGGGGAGAGGAGCAGGCGCCTGAATTAGTCTATTATGTTTTATGATGTTGTTTATGAGCTGCACTAATTAAACAACAACACACACACGCTACACACACGCTCGCACACACACACACTCGCATACACTCACACACACACACGTTCGCACACACACTCGCATACACTCACACAAACACACTCACACACACGCTCACACGCACAGTCGAATACACACACACACACAAACACGCACACACACACACGCTCTCACACCTGGGATCAACCCGAAGACACGACTCAATATGGTTTTATGATTCGTAATGAAAACCTGCTTTAGTAATTGAGAAAGAGAGCCTTGAAGTCGTTACGTGCTGTATTTAAAGTTAATTATTGGGCTAATGTGTAAAGTACGTTCAGGATATCATCTTCCAACCCAAACTGCTTCACCATATATTCATATATTTATATTTAAATTACTTTTATAGCATCTCCAGAAAACATTTTGAACAGTGAAATGGTTTGTCACGGCAGAGAGAACAAAAACTTAGTCCCCTTTTATGTATTCATTATGTACTTTGGTCAGCTCCTCCTACTCTCCCATTCACATAAACATGTGCAGATGATGTGACCTCAGGTGTTGTGTGTTTCACGGGTCAATAGTTGTGTAACTGTTGAGCTTTGTATCATTTTCCTGTTTGGAAAATGACCAGACCCAAAACATCTTTCTGTCTCCTCTAGCTGAGCTTTGATCGTTCCACTTTGTCTTTTCTTTCAGATTGTGTTTCAAAATATTATAAAACTTGAAACAACGTGAACCATATTTTAAAAGGAAGAGAATCAAAGTTTTGAGGAAGTCTTTTCGACGCCGTTGTCTGCGCCCACGGCCTCTCGCAGAATCTACACTGAGGGTTCTGGAGCTTTCTCCTCTTGTGCCGTTCATTGATTGCAATTTCACCGACTGTAGAAAAGTGGGGAAAGAACTGGACGTACAAGTGCCGGTCCAAAGGCCAGAGACCGGTTCATTTGGACTTCCAACAGTTTGCACCTGATTTCAGAACTTTATGACTTGTTGAAGCATGACTGAAAAACACAAGTTGTT